CTTTCTGAAATGATAGGATATTTTCCCTTAAAATTCCTTCTAATGGTGTAATGTACTTAAATTTATGTTTCATCTCTGGGTGTGAGATAGACTTACCACACTGGGCAACGCATACTCATTCGGCAATAAAGTCTATAAACCGGCAGTTGACTTCTCACTTCAAGATACCATGACCCGGGTGTATGCCATATTAGACCACTTCCATAGTACTCACTTTGCCATTTTCTCTACCTTTGTGTCTCTCTCTCTTTTACATCTCTGAATCATTCTTTCGTTCCCCACCTCGTCCTTTCGTCACTTTGATGCTCCTTCCCTCTGTGAAGCCCAAAGTCAGCTAAAGGGCTAATGATAGCTACCATAAAGCCTGCCATTTAAAATAAATAAAGGTTTTATCTTTCATACGTTTTGAGAAAGAGCGGTTAATTGGTAAGGAGATACCTACACCTGATTTGGTATGAATCTGAAAACAATTTTACTAACAGGATTACTACTACTTAAACCCATACGTAAATTGTTGCCCAACTGTTAGATCTGCCTGGGTCGGTTGCGGAGTTTTTGCATCGGGTGATTTGCTAAATCGTTTAAAAGCATCAGGTTGATGTCCTAATGATCTGTTCTGCATATAATGCGGATAAAGCGCCTTCTGCTGCTTTGTTGAGAGTTGGGGTGGTTGGGGTGGATGGATCTGCAATCCACGGATTCGAAAATGGGGAAACTTTGAGGCCCATTCTTCGCATTCGGGCAGGAGATTTCTCACTAACATAAGGCCGCTATTCGTTGGGTTCACAGGAGAATTTTGATTATCTAAAAAAGGAAAGAATTTTGGGGATTGGCCTTAAATTTACATGCACGCTGCTTGGGGAAATCATTTTCCAAATAAAGGTCGAAGGTTATATTTTAAATGTGAATTTCCTTTCAAACAATATTTTGAAGACGGTTGAAATGACCACTTAAAATGCTATATTATTCAATCAATTGATGCGATTTGCAGAAATGTGGCCAAAAATAAGATAATGAGAAACAAATTAGCAATTGTAAATGAAATAAAGATAAAGTTGGCATAACATTTTATATGTATATATCATTTAAGATTTTTCTGCGGTTATGACATGATTAAGTGTTGCTAGGGTGACTGTGATGGTGGCTGGTATAAAATGTCTGTAAACGGAGCTAGATGAAATTTCCATTGTTGGCCCATTAACCAATCGATAATGGTGGCAAGGTCTATCTCGCCATTCTTACAAAATCCAGTCTATCAGGATACGCTTAACGCTTTCATTTGGTAAGTAAATTATTTTCACACCTAATCCAAGTCTGTAATTACAAATATCGTATTCCAAACCCTTCTATTCTATAGTTGGTTCTAAATAACTGCCTTCCAACTAACTTCCAGATCCATCAATCAGCACCTATCTACACTACCCTCCAACTCGGCAAACCTAGAATGTTTTACAATATGTTTAGTCGCATTTCGATTGCAACTATATAGCATATAATTGCAAAAAACTGGCTAGATTTTAAACTACCGGGTTTCAATATGGACATAATTTTAACTTAGGTTAAGAAATTATGCATTAAAGCAACAAAAGAATTAAATTTTAATTACCTGATCCTGTATTAGAGCTGAAATTTGTCAAGCACCCAGGCTCAAAGAGCAATTGGTCAATTGCGTTAAATAGCTGTTTTAAATGATGAGACTTTTGCCTATCGATTTCCTAAAATTAAAATATAGATTTCTGTTTACTCTTCTGGTTTCAATTAATGTTTTTAAACAAAACCTACACAGGCTTCATCGCCCCAGTCTGATGAAGTAATGCTAGTAACATCATTGGCATTTGTTGTAAAGGAGAAGTCATCGGAAGAAAATGTGCTGAGGTCATAGTATTTATCGTGAGCAGCCAAAAGTAAAGGTGCGGTTGACCTATCCAAACTGAAGTTGTCCACTTTGTGCACATATCCGTTATTTTTGTTTGAACTAGTTAAATTTGAAGTTTCTTTGTTTCCATTTTGCTTATCTTTGATTAAATTTGGTTTATGAGGTCTATTCTTGAACATTATCGATAACGGAGAAGGGACAGGACTAATCACTGTTTTTGTTACTGTACAAGAATTTTGTTTGATTTCATTAAAATCCCTCGTGCTTGTAAGCGAAGAATATAAAGAGAGCCAGTCTGGAATGTTTGGTAGATGAGTAATTGGCGGTGGCATTTGCCTAATACTCGGAGCCGGCATACCCAATAAAATGGAAGACTGAAAATAGAAGTTCCTTAAAGTCTAATATATGACAAATAATAGAAATCGTGAAGCAGTTAAGGTTAAAAATAATTTATTCATAATCTTGTTTAATACTTACCTAAAGATTTCAGAAAGTAAAACATTCAGAACTGTAACTTTTATTATAAGTAAAGTTTTAACGTATCTTTGAATGATCTATCCTTGACCTCAAGTTTTACTTAAGCGGCATCCAAACGTAACCATTCATTGGTCAATTATAACATCAATTTCATAATATGATTTAAATGTTAGTTAAAGGTAACTAAAGCCTGTCCCAAGTATTAATTAAATGATTTTCATGTAAAATTGAGCAGATTTCTATTTAGTAAACTATATTATCTTTACCCCCATATCTCATTCAGTGATGCTTCTGTCCCCTATCAGTCAAAAACGTGATAATTTAAGTTAATAAAATATTGTAGTTAAAAATAATAATAAAATGAATATTGTTATTTATTAAAATAACAGACTTATTTACATATAACTCTGAGCCCGTGTTTGTTTCAAGTGCAATGTAAAAATATACTTTTCAAGAGCATATTCTATTTTCGAATCTTGATACAATTATATCTTGCACTGCATATTTCACTTTTCGATCTCACTAAAAATTAATTTATCCTGTTTTCTGATAATTATCCGTTTTAAGCATCCCTTGTTTTATATTTTTCCTCTGCCATATTTTCCAATTAATGCTTTAGTAATTCTACGCATTTAGATTAAAACGGGCTTTTTGGGCTAAACTTTTTCAGTCTCTTTTGTAGTATGCTTGCTTTTCATAAATACATAAAAATTATTAAGCACATGTATTTTTAATGTCATGATTTGAAAATATTGGCTCTGATATACTTAGCACAAAATTGGTTAATTTTGCCTGGTTTACTTTGGCGTTAGTTTTCATAAAAGACCTGAATTTTAAAGATCATTGATATGAAATGCATTTCTTTTTGTCTGAATTGGAATATTGCTATTTCTCATGGTGTCTAATTTTTAGTTAAATTGCAGTATTACTTGAAGTTCTTCCAACCTTCTCAGGTTGTTTAACAATTCGGGATTTTTAAATGTTCATACTAAATCATACCCCTGAAGGCGTGATTGCTGCTGTCTAATTACTATTCTAGCTTGGATCGATATTCAGTAGTAGGTTTCAATTTTCATTTATAGAGTTGCATTATTAGTTACCCCTAGTATGAAGACAAACTTTCTAATGTTAATTAAGCATTACCATTTTCATCCTCCTAAAGGATAGCATGTTTATGGGAAGAGTCTTGAAGACAGCCAACCTTCTCTGAATTACTCAGGTCAGAAAATCTCAAATTCAGAGGTAATGGGGAGATTGTATTTAGTTTACCGAAAAGAGTTATTGTAGTTGCCCAGAGAATCGTCTTCGTAAAGGTAATTAAAAGAAGCATTTGGATTTAACGTACTTTCCTCATATAATAGTTCTAATATAATGAACTTAACTAGATGACAATCTTCCAGGCAACAGTTGCTCAAGCGAGAAAATAAAGCAGATTGAGGGATTAATCTTCATCAAGAGTCTATACTGATTGCAATCTGATGAAATTTCATCATTACTAAGCTCATTGCTTCAAGTGGATTTTAAAATACCCCCTGGGGGTAGATCTCACCATTCTTTCATAAACCACAGCAGAGATCTGTAGAATTATCCCCCTAAAAATAATTTTGCAGGCATTGCATTAAAACAAATTAGTAAGGAGTGAAAGAAAGGCAGTCGAGACAAAAATGGGGCAAACTAAAAGCATCGCTCTAGCTTTTTTGCGTAATTCCATTTTTGAATTTACTACCCCAATTAATGCGATTAAATTATTATTCCTATATGAATCATATTATGATGTTAATGTTTTGCACCCTTCTCGTGCCAGAGTGAATTGGCTCGTTGAATATCTTGATTTGTTAGACAAATCGGCTCAATGTATTTCCTAATTCTCTCGGGATTCAAGCCAATGAAATCAATTGTGCCTACTTTATCTATTAAAGCTCTATTAATTCATTCCTTTGTCTCTGTTAGAGAGTGATTCATCGACTGCAAACCTCATTTTTAAATTCCACTTGGCATTTGTCATTATTTGTATGCTGCATACTTCTTTTAAACATCGAGAGAGGTATTCAGCACACAAGCTGCTCTGAGTCATATTGACGGGAAGTACGGCTCTATTTATTTGGAGAAATACCAATGAAATAAAATAAATAGTCGAAGATTATTTCAACATAATTCGAAATCGGCGTGGATCTGATCTTGAAATGTTTTTTCGGTGACACATTTAGTGGTCTCAAAATTGTTTCCACCAGTTCACGAAATGCCTGTCACTTTACTTAACCTAATTTAAGTAATATCCAAGTTGAAAGTGCAGCAAAAATTGTGCGTGGCTCGGAGCTACAGTTTCATCGCCAGGTTCTCCTTAGTCGTTTCCTCCTGTGGCATACAATGAGCCTAATTTTGTTAAAAAACCATATTAATGAACCGAACTTTTAAGTTTAAAGTCTTGGAGCTTTATTATTACTCCATAATATCCAATTATGGTACAATTTAAATGTGTCGCTCTTCAACGTGCTCATATAAAATGTTTTACAATTTATTTCAACTCCAAACCTTTGCGTACCCTCCGTTGAGATCTCATATATATATATTACTGAAGAGAAACGATCTTCGCAATAGGACCAAATATGGGTTTCATTTGTCCTGCACATTTATTTACCATTCCAATTTTGGTTAATCGAGTGTGACTGACAAGTCAACTCACTATTTGTCACCAGAACATGGAGCTAGTTTATGTGCTCATTTATGGCAAATATCACACCTATGCATTACCAATTTACTAGTCTATTTCATTAGTCAGCCAAGTAAGTTTGCTTGAGAGTTTTGTGTGGGAAAGAAGGCTTAATTTAATACACTGTGGTAAATAATCACACCCAGTATATTTCACTTTGAATAGCGCAGTCGATGGATTCACTAGTGGGATGTAGTAATATGCAGTATCCTGGGAAAGCACTCTGTTCTAAGTGGACCTTGTATTAGAGGCACCAAGATGTGTTAAACAACCCAATGAATGGAACATGCCAATGGTAATGCTCGTATGAATTTACTAGAGGAAACAACCAGTGCGTTTGTCTCTCCGCCTTGATGGACCGAATATAACTAGAGGTATTGAAGTTATTACATAAACAACGACAGTTCTGAGTGTGTGCCTCGGTTTGAATACGAACCACACCTAGATATATATAGGCGAATGAACATGCAAAGTGAATAAAGAAAGCTGATAAGAGCTTTCGGATCGATAATTAAGCATAATGTACATTATGTATAGCCAAGTATTAGATTTCGAACCAATTTCGCAAACCATTGCTCCAAGCAGAGATCTAATGAGGGTTTAAAAATGTCCCCCCCCCTACAGATTGTAGGATAGTGGTGTCGTTTCAGTTACCTGCGATTAATGATAACTTGAACTCTAATTGGCTGTAATTACGCTGCTCTAACGGAAGCAACCGAATGCCAGTGAGCTACCAATCTAGAAATATCCTCCAAGAGTGTCTTTTACTCCTCTATCATGCAATTTACTTCGACGGCAATAGACTTACCTCTACGTGGTGCACCCTGGGCAACGTATACTCATACGGCAAAAAAGTCTATAATCCGGCATTCGACTTCTGACTTCAAACTACCACGACCCCCCTGGTTGTCATATTCGACCCCTTCCGCAGTACTCACCTTACCTTTTTCTCTACCTTCGTGTCTGTCTGCCTCTTTTACATCTGTGAATCACTCTTCTGTTCCCCACCCCTCGACTTTCTGCTACTTTGATGAACCTTCCCTCTGTGAAGCCCGAAGTCAGCTAAATGGCTAATGATATCTATCAAAACGCCTGCCATTTGAAATAAATACTTCGACGGCAAAACAAATTAAAATTGTAAAGAATTTAAATATATGGTTTGATTATTCCCAGATTTTATTAAAATTAAAATAGTGATAAGCAAGTGGTGCTATGGATATCTGAAGAGCTATGATCGAATTCACTTGTTACTTGGAGATTAGACAGTTGTGATCTGCTTCAACAATTGATGGAATTATCTTGGTGCAAAATATTCAAATGAAGAA